AGTTGCACATCCCTGCTCTGAATCTTTTCTTTGAGAAGCAGTGAGTGATGTGCTTTTATTGGTGTTTTGCACATTTTTGTAAAAATTGTGTTTTGGATTTTTGTGAAAGCTCAAACCAGAGCCACTTCAAGGCTTGTCTCAAAGTCGTATTAGTGTCCAAGACAAACGGAAAACCCCTGTCTGTGCAATAACTAGCTTAAAGGGATCCATGATTAGTTATAACACTAGACTTTATTTATTAAACATATATTTTAACTGTAAAATAAAGACTGTAAAAATAATGTAGGATGTTCAGTTTTTATCATTTTTAAACTAAAAGTTGAAAAATATATTACACAGACAGGGCCATTTTATTTACATGCAAAGCATTCTGGATAAATGATGACGTGGATAGGTCCTCGGTGCGAGGCTGCTAGCGAGCTATATCCATCCTGAAGGTTAATCTTGGACAATATCTGACGATTGGCTCTTTAAAATGAAACCAGAGAGCGTTGACAGAGAGGAGAAGGTAGAAATGACTCAGCCTGCAACTGAAAATATGGATGGAGGACCTCAGTTAAGCTTGTTTGTCACGCCAGCTCTGAGTTAATACATAAGGCAAAATAGCGTTGGTGCTAGCGTGAAGGCTAACAGGCTAAGCTGAGGTTCTTCTTCCATGAAGCAGCTCTGTTGTCCTCCATCCACATTTTCAGTTACAGGCTGAGTCATTTCTACCTTCTCCTCTCTGTTAACACTCTCTGGTTTCATTTAAAAAAGCCAATTGTCAGATATTGTCCGAGATTAACCTTCAGGGTGGATATAGCTCGCTCACACCGAGGACCTATCCACGTCATCATTTACCCAGAATGCTTTGTAAATAAAATGGCTCCATCCATGTTAAAATATATTTTAAAAAATTTACTAAACCGAACATCCTACAGTATTTTTACAGTCTTATTTTACAGTTAAAATATATGTTTATCAAATAAAGTCTAATGTTACAAATAATCAGGGATCCCTTTAATGAGAAACAAAAGAATTACACGGAAGCTCGGTCACTTGGTAGGTGACTGTAGGCGGTTATTTTTAGCTTGAGGAGGGAAGTATTCTTCATACATAACTGATCTTTTTTAGTACATAGACAGGAACAGCTAATACCCACAGAGTGGTAAAAATACCACATCTCCAGGGGTGCTGCAAAATCATTGTCTTGTGATGTCGGCTTTGTTTTCCTTCAGACTGTAAAAGTCCGTGTTTCCATTTGAGGAAATCAATCCGTTGAGAGTTTGTTTGATTTTTCCTCCCTTATGCAGCCCTTCCTCCACATGGGGGAACAGATCAGCACATCTTCTGCAGCACGGTGCCTCCACTTGACCTCCTGCGCCTTTTGGTGTTCCTCTACAAAAAATACGCGACTGCACCTTTTAACCCAGGTTTACTGTAACATCAGCTTAAACATCCTCTGGGTCTCCTCCTCCATCACCGCGCTGATGAAACGAAGCTCGTTCCGTGCCCCGGCGCTGTGATGCGGCAGTGTTTTTCTGCAGTAATTGCACCATTTTCTTACTCAGCAGTGTCCGACCTGATGAAAAATGTAAACAGACAGGCAGGTTATGTAAGCGAGAGTTGGGTGTCAGGGTGGGTTAGTGATTGGACTAAAAGCAGAACCGCACTCCGAGTGTGATCTCACCCAGGACAACAATTTCAGTTTAAATCCACTGAGCAAATTGTTCATTGAATGTTTGGATTTTGCAAAACTGCATGTGTTTTCAGTTTATATAAAGTGAGTCTGGCATGCAGTTATCAGATACATCTTTTCAGATTTCACCTGATTTTTTATAATCTACGTGTGCGTTTGTCTGTTAGCAAAGTATTTCATGAACTGCGAGATGAATTTTAATGAAACTTTCAGGAATTTGTAACAAAATATACAATTACTACTGTGGAAGTTTTGGAATCAATCTGATTCAAGATGGCTGCCAAAGCTAATCAACCTTAGGAAACACAAAAATGTTGATAACTCTGGTGRTTTTATAAATACTTTGCTAGAATTTGATGTGCATAGCTGACACAAATTGCGAGCACTAACTAATCACATAAAATTTCACAATATTGTGTATGGCTCTTAAAGGGGGGGTGTTATGCAAAACCTTTTTTAAAGCATTATATCATGTTATAATGTCCTTCCCTCATCAAAAACGTATCCAGAGTGTTGCTTTGYCTCATTCATGCATGTTTGAGAAATCSTCGAATCCSCTGTTGAGCCATGTGGAGCTGCCTAAATGCTTGTTGGTACAAAGCACCGCCTATTTACACAAAGCTCCTCCCTGGAGCTCAGTCTGCAGCCGAGCTCCCGCCCTACAGAGCACCCCTCCCT